TATCCGACCCTTCCCTAAACCTACATTACAAGCTTAAAAAATCCTTATGGGATCTCCAAACCGAATGTTCTTGAATAGGCGACGAATTAAAATAAGGGCAAGCTTATGGCATGATATTTTGTAACACTTGAAATTCTTTGTTGAGAGTGAGTGTCTTTGTGCATTTGTCCCTTGTGTTGTTATTGTAAATATGGTGATTTTGGGACTTTCTTTCTTGTGAGGGCACATGAATTAGGATGGATTGGTGCATACTACTTGTGCTTTAAATAGTGGAACCTCATTGAATTGTTGGTTTTGATTTGCTTGAGGACAAGCAAAAGCTTTAAGTTGGGGGTGTTGATGAGTGGTGATTTTACCATTTATTTTAGTCTATTTTATTTAGATTTTGCATCCTTTAATTATAATATGAGGGTTTTTATGGTGTATATTGCTAGATTTTTAGGTAAATGATGCCATGAAGAGAGGTGAATTCAATTGAAGTGGAATTGAGCAAAAAAGAGTTGAAACAATACTAAATCCTTCAGATATTTCGCATTTGCGGAAGACAGATTGCTTATGCGATCTCGCATCTGCGAGAAAGGGCCCGCATTTGCAGAAGAAGACCTGGCTAGCAGAAAGCGCTTATGCGATTGACTCACCGCATCTGCGGTAGCACTTCTGCGGAGCCAGTGTTTCCCATCAAATATAGCTTCTGCGGTAGGCTATCCGCATCTGTGGAGCCGTATCTGTGAGGATCCTTCCGCAGGTGCGGTTAACGGACTTCAGCTATGGACAGTATTGGCATTTCACATTTTCTCACCTCCAAACCCACAAATACACGACCTAGCTTATTGGAAACCCATCTTTGGCTTATTTTTCAGTCTCTGGACTAGAGAGGACAAGTTTTGGAGCTAGGGTTCTTGCACACACACTTGGGTCTTGAAGATTTGAAGCTTTTGGTTGAAAATTTCTTACCCATTTATGTTTATTTCTTCATTTTCTTGCTTTGTATTGTATATTTAAGTATATAATATTTTTTTCCAATACTTGAATCTTGTTTATGGGAATATTCATATTTAAAATATGGATTAAATATCTTGTTGTGCTTATGTATTGAACGATTTTTATTTATTATGAAGTGAGTTATTATTTCTTTAATTATTCTTGTTCTTTAATGTTTCCAAAGGGATTAGCTAACCCTAGGACTCGCCCATTAACTTCGAATTAATTTTGGAAAAGATAATTTGGGGTTGGGAAAGATTAATTAACAAGAACTTGAGGCTTTAACCCTCATTTTATAGATTCTACCTAGGGATAGGATTGAACTACTTGTAGCCATAATTGGGTGTGCTTAATCTCTTAGTTGTTTTAGGGATAATTCAATTAGGAAGTCTTGTTGGTCTTCGGAAGAAGCTAATATAGAATTATTATTCGAGGCTAATTAACATAAACTTGCTCATATTTGTAAAATCATGAAATATATTGGATCCTTAATTGAGTGTAAATCCCGATGCAGCCATACTTCTAGCCATTGATCATTTTACTTGCTTTCTAGGTTAGTTTATATTTTCGTAATTAGTTATAAATATTGTCTCAACCATTTTTAAGTATTTGGCTTAGCATAATAAGTGATAATTCTCTTACACGCCTAATCGCCTACATATTGTTCTCTGTGGGATTCTACCCCGACTCATAGTTGGGTAAATTATATTGCATGCGACCGTGTCTATTTACTCTTTAATAGTGGATTTGGATGTCATCAGATAGCATACGGCCTTCCAGAGATATTATTCCGGCGCTACATGGCTGGATTGTAAGGTATATGGACTTCCGCCAAAGGTGAGGCAATTGATAGGTCGGCTATCTCGTCTTTGGAGAAGAAGACCGCAAAGCTGACATGAGGGCTTGAAGAGACAAAGGCTAGAGAACAAATAAGAGATAGAAAATTTGATACCCTTCAAGTTCAGCTAGAAAAGAGGGACCAACAATTTAATCTCCTTCAAGGTCAACTGGCCAATCTTCTTGCTAGTGGTGCTTTCCCCATTCCCCAATCTCACGAGCCTTCCCCAGATGCTAATCCTTCTCGTTGTTAATCTTCGAACCATGCCGGCAATGAAGCTTCTAGTAGTGAAGATGGAGGTGATGCAATGCAAAACACTCATTGAATGGTGTGTATTGCTAAACAAAGTATTGAACTTGTGAATATTTAGTTGCAATAATTTTGAATGATGATTGTATTGTTGATATTATTTTGTTATTGAACATTTGTATTGTTGTTGTTGTGGTTGGCGTTATTGTTGTGGTTGTTATTAGCGTTGTTATTGCGGTTATTGTTGGTTAATTATTGTTGTTATTGTTGGTTAATTATGGTTGAATGTCAACAATGTAATGATGCCATTATAGGATAGTTATTGGTTGTAATTGACAGGTAGTGTAGCTTAAAAGCATCCATATTCTGCCAGTTTTTTACTCAGAAAACCGACCAATTTCGGTCGTAATTCTCGTATTAAAACTCAGAAATTCAACTTTTCCGACCGACTTCGGTAGGTATTTAATGTGAAATTTGCAAAAATTTAAAATTATCGACCGAAGTCGGTCGAACATAACATGTTTTTTAATTTATTTTTTAATTTTTTCGATTGATTTTGGTCGGTCTATTAAGATTTAAAAAGAAATACAAAAGTATCATAAAATTATATTTCCGACCGAAATCGGTCGCTATTTTGAAAAATAAATAAAAATAATTTAAATAAAACCGACCGAGTTCGATCGGTATATTTATTTTTTCAACAAAATTTGTCAGTTAAAGTGGTCAACCAAAGGTTGAATTAACCGACCGACTTCGGTTGAAAAATTATGACCGTCTTCGGTCGCCAAACCTTAGCGACCACTGTTGTTACGGCGAATTGAAATCGGTCGTAAATCGGTCGATTTTTCTATATTTCCGACCGATTTCGGTCGATTTTCGTGGACAAATTTTGATAGTTTTCTAGTAGTGATAGCGCATGGGTACCATGCACTATATGTGGTTGTGGTTTTTTTTTTCCCGCATTCTTTTTGTTATTTAAGTTCGATTTTGTGTACTTTGGTTTTGAACTCAGCTATACTAATAGTTTTTTAAATGCTGACTAAACTCTAATAGCAAAGATTAAAAATATCTATTACTATCAATTTCTCCCATACTGACTCATCTAATAACTAGGGGTGTCAATGGATCTTTAAAAACCGACTAAACCGATCATATCGAACCGTACCGAACCAATTATGAGGTTTATTTTAATAAAACCGTAGGTTTTTATATAAACTTATAACTGTACCGAATAATAGGGTGGTTTTAAATTTTATAAAATTAAACCGAAAAAATATCGAAACGTACCGAATAAATTTATATATGACAAATATATTTTATATACTAAGTTTAAAACTAACAAATAATTTCTTTTTCTTGGGTCTTGTGATTATGAAAATGGCTACAAGTGACCAAATAATTAATATCCAATGTCCCAGCTTCCAAGCCTATTCTACTACTTATATTTCTAACATCTTGAGTAGCAAGCCATTAGGTATTCTTGTGATTTTCAGTAGCAAGCCACAAGGTATCTTCCTCTCGTATAATTTAGATTTCTCTTATTGGATACTAATCTTTTAATAAGCTCTATTCTTGAGTCCCATCTCGATTAGTATCTTTCCACTCGCATGATTTATATTTCTCTTGTCGTTGATTAATTTGTTTTACGCTGTCATAGAATAGTGAGATGAATCTCTATTCTGAATATCTTTTATGTTTCTTTGATCATCACTTTTAAATAGTAAAAATATCTAGAGAATTTCGCCAAAGTCCTATGCAAATACACATTATCGCATTCTAACTTTAACTAGTGACTCTTATATGACATTTAAAGAAAATATCAAAAAATGAACTGAACCGTAACGATACCGAAAAGAAACCGAGATGATTGAGACGGTTTTGAAAAGTCTAATTTTTATTATGCAAAATGAAATAATGGAATGATACAAATTTTATAAAATAACCGATCGAACATAACCGAACTATTGACACTCTACTAATAACATTCATTGAGTTTGTGGATTTTGGAATAGCCCTTTCACCCGGCCAAGAAAATGGCCCTTCAGAATTTTTAATATAGGAGAAAATGGTCCTTCTTTAAAAAAGATGAAAGACTAAAAGTGAAAGTGTCTCTAACATATACCAAAATGGTACTCCCTGTGTCTCAAATCTGGCACAAAGAATTTTGATTTTTGAACATGTGACGCTAAAAAACTTAAAGTCAAAATTTTTGTTAGACCGTTATAAAGTTTCTCGTTAAGAGTAAAATGAGTAAAATAAAAAGTTTAAAGTTAAATTGTTTTTAAATATAAAATATATCATTCTTTTTAGAACAAACTAATAAGAAAAATATATCATTTAAATTGAAACGGAGGGAGTACTATTTAAACCATCTATCAATATCTAGTTGAAAAACGATCCAGTCTTGTCTTCAAGATTTCATTTAGTAAATCCAATCCATTTATATGGTAAATGGAGGAGCTCGTCTCTGTTTCGTCTGCATTGAGCATCTTTATGAAGCAGAGGCAGAACTAAGAATCCTGACGAGGTGATTTAAAAAAATAGAAGAATAGAAACCTAAAATTCAAACTTGTAACCTAACAATAACTTTTAGTGGGCGTTTGGACATAAGAATTGTAAAATTCAAAAAAAAAGAGAAAAACTTTTTCAAGTGAAAATGATATTTGAAAATTAGAGTTGTGTTTGGACATGAATATTATTTTGGGTTATTTTTGAAGTTTTGTGAGTGATTTGAGTGAATATTTTGAAAAACAGTTTTTTAATTTTTTTTCAAATTTTCGAAAAATTCAAAAATTTGTAAAAATTGAAAATTTTATGATCATACACTGATTTCAACAAAAAAAAAAAAGTTTTCGAAAAAAGTTTTTTTTTTTTATTATGTCAAAACGGGCTCTTAAACTACGTACTAAACGCTTCTGTCAATTCAAAAGGCTTCAACAATTTATATATATATATTATTTGCACAATATAATTTTACATGTTCTTCTGCTACAGTCTCGAAGTTATACATGTGTGATGCCTAGATTGCCTTAGGCTAGCATTTCCAATTCCCAACTCAGCTGCGCCAAATATTCCCTTATCACTTAGATGATATGACACTAATTAATAGGGAATATATATGGTAGACATTTTTTTGCATTCTATAGAGCCCCACATCTATAATCTGTGACTGTGAGGGAACATTAATTAATATTGACATATATACATTAAATTTGGTCCTTAATTCCAGGAAACTCTAGACACTTGAATGAGCTAAAACCTCAATATATATATAAAAATATAAAAATAAACAGATGAACTAAATAGTTTTTCAAGGTTGGAAAAGCTTATTTGCACATTTACATCTCCATGCAAGAAGATAATAAGTGCCATCTTCTTTAGAGGCAGAAATGGTAACTTTCTTGACTTGATGACCAGGAGCTATTAATGTAGCAACACAAGGCCTGCAATTCGAGCATTTTCCTTCACACCTTGGTGGCCTTGATCCTACTTTCATTCCTGATAATATTGTCTCCTTTCCCCAGTTTGATACTTTTTCACCATCTGTTATCACTACAATATTATTACTAACTTATCTATCCAGCTAAAAACAGTAACTACAACAAGAAGTTGAAATGTATGGATTTTGAACTTGCCATCAAACTCATACCTATTTTAGCTATTGGGTTCGCAGTTGATGCTCTAGCTCTGCCCATGTGGAATAATACTTAGTTTTGAATTTCATTAAGAGTTTGACTTCTATAAACTTGACAGTGAAATTTGTTTTTACATAATCAGGTCATAAGTGTTACAAGGTGGAATTAGTAACCTGAATATAAGGCATGTCCCATACTATAACAGGTTAAACTACTTGACATAAAGATTCTATACACTATCAGTGTATACGAGTTACTGTACATCCTTCCACTGTTTATCCATTATTTCAAATTTAATCAGTTGAAAACTACCAAGAAAATCTTCTTCCTCCCCTTTTTAAATCAGCTCCTTTTTACGTTCATTGTGATACTCTTGTCATCTTGTTTGCTTGCTACTTAGATTCTATGTTTGAGAATTTCAGACAGTAAACTTAACTGCCTCTTGATTTCTTTATCTCCTTTACCTTTACTTCAAAGAGATCGTAAACCAAAGAAGAAGAAGAAGAAGAACAACAACAAGATTAAGAAATGTGATCTTCTAACTTATTGCTTTTCCTTTTACCCTTTATTTCGTAGATAAATATTAGTAGTAGAAGAAAGGTTAATTACTTCTTTCTTCTGAAAACTTTTTCTAAGCTGTGTGTGTTTATATGAGGTGTGTAAAAAGCTTAAGTAAATAGAAGTGATATTTTACTACAGGGTAATACTGACCTGTAACATGAGGATAACATAAAAGAGCAAAGATGAATACAACTTTCAGCTCATGATGATGCTTATTGAATGAAGCCATAAATATCATTAATCAGCAGCAAAAGTCTTCAACTTCTTCAATAACTTCCTACAGTGAGCATATATAAAATTGTCCTACTACCTTTATTATTGTTTTTCTATTTTCTGCAGCCTATTGAATGTTGAGTGTAGTAGTGTTCTTTAAATAAAGAGGAAGAAGAATTTTTTTTTAAAAAAAAATGATGACCCTTTAATTAGCTGCCTCAGATAAGAATATTGATAAATTTGAACATGTGGGAAAGTAGGTGTAGAAAGGAACATGCATGGTATGGTGTCTGGTGGTGACTTTACTTAGCTGAATTAATAGTGACACATCTCTGTATGACATGATACTGGTTGGTTGTTCAGAAATTAATGTCCTTCTTCTCTTTATCTGTGCTTAGAAGGATTTACAAAAAGGTGAAAAACAAAAAAGAAAAAAGTGTACGTAGAGTGAGAATTGGTATATTGTGTTAAATGAATTACAAAATGTTTGATTCTGAGGACTGACTTGTACTACAGTCAACTCAACCTTATCTCAGGCATGTCAAAGTAAAAGAAACAAGGCCTTTAATTTGTTTTGTCCTTCATTTTTCTGATGCAATAATGCCTTCTAATTTGTTTTATACTTCAAAGATCCATGCTGTTAACATATACGATATCACCAATAATTCCCTCGTTAACTCAAGAATTGCCTGATGGGAAAAAAGATGGCTTCTTTGGAGAGGAAGAATAGTTTGGAGAAAACTCGAGTGAACTCCTTAATTTGCGGTATTTTTGATAGGAGAATTTTATGCTTAAGGTTACCCATTTCCTAGAATTTCCCTTATTAAGGACCCGTTTGGCCATAAATTTTATCAAAATAAATTTGGGTTTTATTTGGCAAATACATGTTTGGTCATAAATTTTGCTTATATTTTGGCAAAATCCCAAATTCCAAAACCAACTCAATAGCTGATTTTGGGCCAAAATATTACTATTATATTTTTTAAAAATTACCCCAAACTTTTATAGAAATTACCCCACCATTTATTATTTTGTAACAATGTTGTTTTGTTTTCTTGGTCATCTGATAGTGTATCATGTAGTTTATTATAAAATAATAATTTTATACCAAATTTATTTATGTTCAGGACTATGGTTTGCGATAATATAATGAATGTTATTGATAATGATACTGTTGGGTATTTGTGATAGTTTTTAGAACTTGTGGGTATAAGCCATATTTCATATTTTTTCAAAATAAATTTGAAAAATATATTTTGAAAACTGATGTCTAAGCACATTTTCATTTTCAAATCAAACTTCACCCAAATAAAATTTTTCAAAATAAATTTAGAAATACGTGACGAAAGCTAACAATCCAAATGTAAAAACAGTAAAAACCAGTTCCCTACTCCCTAGGAATCAGATTTTAAAGAAGACACTCCCAAAAGACAATACCAACAAATTCTACAGTAACTACCTTTTGTACTTTAGAACCATGTGATCATGTTTGTCCCTAGCTATTCCCCCCTCCCTTAGCCTCCTTCTCCTCTACCTTATACTTGTGGTACAAATTTGGAACTCTGCACACCATTTTCTGAGATTACAACTTGGTTATTTCCTCCTTTAGTTTGTTAACCTAATTATGCTTCCATTTATGAATTGGTCCCACATAGACCAGCAAAATAGACATAAGAATGAGCATGTGACAAGGACAATTTTTAAAAAATCATCCGTTGGTCCAATTAATTCTAATTTGTGTTGCATGTGGCCCGTTGAAAAAGAAATCACTCCCTACCATAATTTTTATTATTTTCTAGAGTCGAATCTAAAATATCTAATTAGGGGTGAATTTTTTTATACATTCTACCACATTCTGGTTGTGACAAAAGAGTACTTTCTTCTGCCACTTCTTTTTTGTTTTTAAATTGAAGAGTTTAAAATAAAGTAAGTCATTACAGCATTTGTGTATGACAAAGTTTGGACCTTAGAAATTTGCTGCTCACCAACCAATATTTAATGCAAATGTTACTGACCTTATGAATTATTCAGGTCTATGGAATGTAGATGGGTCAATGAAATATGAGCTAGGATCTAGGCCTCTGCTTCTAGCCCCTAGACTTTAAGTTCTTGTCTTTGAGGATTTGTAGGCTCTTAGATAAATTTATTTATGTGCCTGCCAGAAAATCTAGAACATTTTACTTTTGCTTGTGTGAGCTTACTTATATCGTTGATCTCAAGCTAGGATAGAAGAAGAGGGTTGAGTTATTCGCTTGTGTGAGCTTTCTTACATTGCCGACTTCAAAACCTGGATAAGAAACAAAAAATATATTATTTTTTTAAAACAAACTAATAAAAAAAGTTTATCACATAAATTAAAACAGAGGGAATAATATGTAAATTAATACGAGGAGAAAGAAGCATGGTAAAAAGATGTCATACAAGTACACAGTTAAAAATGAAAGATTCCAAAGCAATAGTGATGAAGTCCAAAGAATTGCAGGAACCAAAGAAAAAGAGTGAGGAAAAAAAAAACACATAAGAAATCGCAGACGACAGAGAGCCAACCCTGCTAAAAAGAAGGATCTACTGTTTATTACATCTTTTACTTAACAAAAAGCACAGAATTCTGACCATGAATTGATTATTAATATTTGAAAAACATGTCATATTTGAAGTTGGGTAAAAAAATAATATTTGGAAGTTAGCGAAATAATCTCCAGATATTATTTCAAATATTTAAAACAAGATTCATGGCCAAAGACTCCTAAGTTGTTTACACTGCCCGGAAAAAAATTAGGTAAATACAAAATTAGCCGGTTGGTTGGAGTTAATTGTATTCGCTAGCTTAAAAATATATAAAATATATATATATATATATATATATATATATATATATATATATATATATATATNACGTTTCTAAAATAAGATCTTTACTTTTTTGACCCCAAAAAGAAAAAAATTAACCTTATACATTTTAATTTCTGCATAGTTATAAGTTACAAAGCATTTAGATTCTAAGAAAAATCATCGAGTTGTTGTCTATTTTACTGGTAGTAAAATCATACAATCAATTGAGTACATGATTATTTCATTGAATTTGATAAATATTTTCATTACTTTAGAAAAACATCATATGTGTTGGGGTTCTGAAAGATATTTGTGACTATAAAACCACCCAAAAAAGAAGAAGGGCTTTTTTACAATATCATAGAACAAAGCTCACGAGTTAGGGGAGAAGTTGTTGGCTATGAGGGCCTGGATGAGTAGGGGGACGCGTTTAGTATGTGATTCACGACTGTGAATTGCATTAGGGTAGCTGCTAGAGAGGTCTTAGGGGTCATGAAGGGCTCTCCTGGGGGTCATAAAAGGGACTGGTGGTGGAATGGAGAAATCCAAGGTAAAGTGAAAACTAAGAAAACTGCTTATTTAAAGCTAGTGGAGAGTACAAACGAGGAAGAAAAAAGGATTTATCGGGAGTGTTACAGAAAGGCAAAGAAAGAGGCAAAATTAGCAGTTACGACAGCTAAGAACGCGGCGTTTGCTCGTTTGTACGAGGAGCTCGGGGGCAAAGGCGGGGACAAGAAGTTGTACTGGTTGGCCAAGGTGAGGGAGAGGAAAGACCGCAACTCAGACCAAGTCAAGTGCATCAAGGACGAGGATGAAAAATTATTGATGGACGAGGCACTTATTAGGAGAAGATGGCAGACATACTTCCATAAATTATTGAACGAGGAGGGGGATAGACGCATTGTGCTGGGTGAGTTGGAGCACTCCGAGAGTCAGCGAGATTTTGAGTATTGTAGGCGGATTACGGTAGAGGAGGTGGAATGGGTGATACGTAAGATGTGCAGGGGAAGAGCGACGGGGCCAGACGAAATCCCGGTGAAATTCTGGAAGAGCGCGAGGCGAGTAGGTTTGGAGTGTCTCACTGAGTTGTTTAATGTTGTTTTTAAGACGAAGAAGATGCCCCAAGAATGGAGGTGGAGTACGATGGTTCCACTTTACAAGAACAAGGGTGATATCCAAAATTGCAAAAATTATAAGGGTATCAAGCTGTTGAGTCACACTATGAAGGTTTGGGAGAGGGTGGTGGAGGCCAGGGTGAGGAGGTGCATGTCTATTTCCAAGGATCAGTTTGGATTCATGCCGGGGCGTTCGTCTATGGAAGCGATTCATCTGGTAAGGAGATTAGTGGAGCAGTACAGGGAGAGGATGAAGAACTTGCATATGGTGTTTATTGACCTTGAGAAAGAGTACGATAAAGTCCCGAGGGAGGTCCTGTGGAGGTGTTTGGTGGTTAGGAACGTTCCGGTAGTGTACATTATGGTGATTAAGGATATGTATGATGATACTAAGACTCGGGTGATGACTGTGGGTAGTGACTCGGAGCATTTCTCTATGGTGATGAGGTTGCACCAAGGATCAGCTCTTAGCCCTTTTTATTTGTCTTGGCGATGGATGTACTGTCGTGACACGTCCAAAGGGAGGTGCCTTGGTGCATACCATTTGCCGATGATATAGTGTTGATTGACGAGACGCGAAGCGGAGTTAACGCGAGGTTGAAGGTTTGGAGACAGACCTTGGAGTCTAAAGACTTCAAACTGAGTAGAATCAAGACATAATACTTGAAGTGCAAATTCAGTGACAGGACCCATGAAGCAGACGTAGAGGTAAAGCTCGATGCTCAAATTATCCCCAAGAGAGCGAGTTTTAAGTATCTCGGGTCTATTATCCAAGGTAACGGTAGATTGACTAAGATGTCGCACATCGCATAAAATGGAGGCTCGCTTCCGGTGTTTTATATGATATGAATGTGCCGCCAAGACTTAAGTGTAAGTTTTATAGAGTGGTGGTTCGACCAGCTATGTTGTATGGGGATGCGTGTTGGCTAGTCAAGAACTCCCACGTGCAGAAGATGAAAGTAACAGAGATGAGAATGTTGAGATGAATGTGTGGGTGTAGCAGGAGAGATAAGATTAAGAATGAAGCTATCCGGGACAAAGTGAGAGTAGCATCCGTGGAGGACAAGATGCGGGAGTCGGGGCCGAGATGATATGGACATGTTAAGAGAAGAAGCATTGATGCTCCTGTTAGGAGGCGTGAGAGGTTGGCCATGGAGAGTTTGAGAAGAGGTCGAGGTAGGCCTAAAAAGTACTGGGGAGAGGTGATTAGACAGAACATGGCACTGCTTCATCTCACTGAGGACATAACCCT